TGAGGGAGCGGGCACTGTCGGAGGGTCAGTGCTGAGGGAGCGGGCACTGTCGGAGGGTCAGTGCTGAGGGAGCGGGCACCAGACGGTCAGTGCTGAGGGAGTGCCGCACTGTCGGAGGGTCAGTGCTGAGGGAGTGCCGCACTGTCGGAGGGTCAGTGCTGAGTGAATGCCACGCTGGAGGGTCAGTACTGATGGAGCGGCGCATTGTTGCTCAGCGGGTGCTGAGGGAGAGCCAGTCTGTCATAGGGTCAGTGCTGTGGGAACCTTGGACTTTTTAAGGGATTCCTTTAAGGACTGGTATAGCTGAATATGAGGTGGGAGTTAAGCATTAACATTTGAAGTGAGTCAGTGTAAAATATATACAGTAGAATGTGATAAGTACTCTTTTAAAAAATGTGTTGGGATACTTGCAAGGGGTACAGTTGGATGAGTGGAGCTCCAAGGGATGGTGCTTACTTCCTCTACATTATCTATTTAAACCATCTGTATAAGGTTCTAGTCTGAGTCCAGGCCTCTGTAATATGCCATTTGGCATCTACCACAGCATCCAAAAGCTGCACCTCTTTACTTCATTATAATGATTTAAAATTTATGTTGAACCATTGCGGTGCACTGGCACAATAATGCTGGAAGTATAATTGCAGAAGGCACATAAATGATATATACTTCTTCGACAGAAGCCCTATTTATTTACACACTCCGAGTGTCCTCTAAATCTTGGCTGATATTACCGTGGCCAGCAGAATTTCCCGACTCCTGGGTGGAAGTACTGTGCATAAACAAAACACACCAGTTAACTTCAAGCAAAGTATTTCACCAGGAGGGTCTTAGGGCTCTCCACTTCTTCCCAGAGCAAAGACCTGAACCATCCTCACCCACCACCACCCTCTTCCGCTTGGCCGAGCTTGTCCTCCCCCTCAACAACTTCTCTTTCAACTCCTCTCATTTTCTTCAGGTAAGAGGGGTTGCCAGGGTATCCGCATGGGCCCTAGTTAGGCCTGTCTCTTCATGGGGTACGTGGAACATTCCTTGTTCCAGTCCTATTCCAGCCCCCACCCACAACTCTTTCTCCAATACATCGATGATATCATTGGTGCTGCTTCCCCCTCTCGACTGAAATTGGAAAACTTCTTCAATTTCGCCTCCAATTTCCACCCTGCCCTCACTTTCACCTGGTCTATCTCTGACTCCTCCCTTCCCTTCCTCGACATTTCTGTTTCTGTATCTGGGGATAGACTGGCCACTAATATCCACTACAAACTCTCTGTCTCCCACAGCTACCTGGACTATACATCCTCATACCCCACTTCCTGTAAAGACTCCATCCCATTCTCTCAGTTCCTCTGTCTCCGTCGTATATGTTCAGATGAAGCCAACTTTGACAAGGGAGCCTCCGAAATGTCCACCTTCTTCCTCAACTCTTGTCGACAGGGCCCTCAACCAGGTCTGACCCATCGCTCGCACTTCCGCCCTCACCCCTTCTCTTCCCTCCCGCAACAGCGAGAGGGTTCCCCTTATCCTTACCTACCATCCCACCAGCATCCACATCCAGAAGATCATCAGACGCCATTTCCACCACCTCCATGCCACCACCAGACACATATTCCCCTCCCCTCCCTTGTCTGCCTTCCGCAGGGACCGTTCCCTCCGGGACAGCCTGGTCCCCACTTCCTTCACCCCCAAAACCTCCCCACAGCCATACGGCACCTTCTCCTGTAACCAGCGACACCTGCCCATTTACCTCCTCCCTCCCCAGTATCCAAGGGCAACACTACATCTGCACTTCCCAGAATCTAGTCTATTGCATTCGCATACTGCATACTCACAATGTGGTCTCCTGTACATTGGGCAAACAAAGTGTAGACTTGGTGACCGCTTCGCAGAACATCTACGTTCTGCTTGCAAAAAAGACCCTGAACTACCTGTTGCCTGCCACTTTAACGCACCACCCTGCTCCCTAGCCAACATCTCTGTCTCTGGCTTGCTGCAGTGTTCCAGCGAAGCCCAACACAAGCTGGAGGAACACCACCTCATTTTCCACTTGGGGACCCTACAGCTCTTTGGACTCAATATTGAGTTCAATAATTTTAGGGCGTAAACTCTCCCATATCCCAACCCCCTACCCCATACACCAGGCCTTGTTAGCACATAGCCTGCCATTACATATCCCCTATTAGTCACTAACGGTCCCCATTAACAACTATTCACCCTCCCAGCCTGATCGTTAGCAACTCCTTTGTCTGTCCAACTGTCTTTCTCTCTCTTTGGGCTCTACCCTATCATTTACTCCCTACCCCACCCACCTCCCTATTTTCTGCATATAAACTGACGTTTTCCCAGCCACCATCAGTTCTGAGGAAGGGTCACTGGACCTGAAATGTTAACTCTGTTTTTTCCTTCATAGATGCTGCCAGACCCGCTGAACTTTTCCAGAAACTTTGTTTTTATTCCAAATTTCGGTTAGTGCAAAGTAAATTCCACAAGCCCTGTTACACAGGAAAGAATGGTTAAATGTTGTATTAATCTACCATGTAGTGTGACGGGGTAATCAGTTATACCTTACATGTATCAGATATGTATTTACAATCTCCTACCCGCACAACAATTAATACAGTTGCTTTATGAGTTAGCCACTGTTAAGGAGCCTGTTACACAACTCTGAAAAGTAACCCCTTGCCTTTATCATTCCCTATCTCATCTACAGATTGCTTCTATTTCCTGAATTTAGGTCATCCATCTCTTGTGTGCTAATGCCATCTTTAATTAACAGAGCCACTCGTCCATCATTTCCTAGCTTCCTGTCCTTCCTAAACGTTTTGTATTCAGATCCCAGCCTAGGTCATCCTGCAGTCATGTCTCATTAATGGCTACTAGATCATATTTATTTATCTAACTTTGTGCTACTAGTTCCTCTTTTTTGTTTCGAATGCTACGTGCATTCAAATATAGTGCCTGAAGTTTTCTCCTTTTCATTACTTTTGTAATGTCTAGTCTTAATTATTGATTTGCTCTGAGGATCTCAATGTTGTATCAAGCGTGATCATAATGTCTGGTGGAGCAGCTTTGAGGAGCAGTAGTTTGCTTTCATTCTCTATTAATAGGGCTTGTATTTATATTCCCTTTGACCAAGCTGTTTATCATCTGCCCTAATGCCTTTTAATATCATTTTGCTTCGAGATGCTTCTGTTATATGCCTTTGGATGTTTTATAACATTCATAGATGTTCTTGTTTAGGTTGGATCTGGTTTAGTGAGGAAGATACCAGGAAAATATGATTGCCCTGTGCTTCTCTGCTTAGCATTTTTTTTTACTGACCTGGTCTAGAAGTATGAGATATAGCAGAGCAACGCTGAGAATTGTACATCATGGAAGATCATTGTGCTACCTCTTTGCAAGACTGATCCAATTTGCCAGTCTCCCCTTTTCTCCATTATGCTATGATTTGTCTTAGTGTGTGCACACGAATGAACTCCGTATCCTGTTGAAATCACTGTTGAATTTGCTATTGTCACCCGACTAGACAGGGTATTCCAGATTGCAACTTGCTGCATTTAAAACAAAAAAGATTGTTCCTCTTCACCCCTAGCTCTTTGATAATTAATACTATACAATATACAGCACAGGAACAAGCCCTTTGGTCCACCAAGCCTGCACTGATTCCTATTCCTTATTTACAACCACTACTTATTGCCCATATATGGTTTCTATCGCTCTGTTTGCCTCCCATTCATGTGTTTATCAAGGTACATCTTAAACGTTGCTAACATGCCTGCTTCCACCATCTCCACTGGCAGTAGGTTCCAAGCACTCACCACCCTCTGTGTGAAAAATTTTCCCCACACTTCTCCCCTAAACTTTCTCTGTCACCTTGAATCTGTGCCCTTTCATAGTTGACCTTTCCATCTTGGGAAAATGCCTCTGACTTTCCACCCTATCCATGCCTCTTATAATTTTGTAGGCCTCTCGGCCTCTGTCTTTGCAGTGAAAACAATCCAAGTTTATCCAACCTTTCGTCATAACTAAAACCATCCAGACCAGGTAACATCCTGGTAAACCTTCTCTGTACCTTCTCCAAAGCATCCACATCCTTCTGGTAGTGTGGCGGTCAGAACTGCATGCAATATTTCCAAATGTGGCCTAACATTTGTTGAAACATAACTTGCTAACTTTTACATTTGACGCAGCGGCCGATGAAGGCAAGTGTGCTGTATGCCTTCTTGACCACCTTAGCCACCAGTGTTGTCACTTCCAGGGATCTGTGGACCTGTATGCCCAGATCCCTCTCTATTCCAATGCTCCTAAGGGATCTGCCAATTATTGTATAATTCACACTTGAATTTGATTCTCCAGAATGCATTATCTTGCATTTATCTGGATTAAACTCCATCTGCTATTTCTCTGCCCAAATCTGCAATCTATCTATATCCCGCTTTATCCTTTGACAAACCTCCTCACTGTCTGCAACTCCACTAATTTTGGTGTCATCTGCAAACTTACAAATCAGACCACCTACATTTTCCCCCAGATCATTTATTTAACAAACAACAAAGGTCCCAGCGGAACTAATCGCTGCAGAACATCACTAGTTACTGATTTCCATTCTGAAATGCACCCTTCCACCGCCACTCTGTCTTCTATGACCAAGCCAGTTCTGTATCTATCTAGCCA